TTGTAATCAATTACTTGTTGATTGAAATTATTTATTGATTATGATTGATAAGTAATTATCAATATCTAATAATATGATTAGTGAAAATATGAATGTTTGGATTATTAGATAAAGTTGACTCTCGCTATAAGGCACTTTTACACGCACTGGACACCTCACCACTATATTACTCTTCTATTGTCACATATTTTGCATTATCACGTGTCGTACTTCTCCATATTGGTTTTCCATGCATTGTATTTCCATACGTTTAGTTTCCATGCGTTATATTACTACACGTTAGATATCCACGCGTTATATGGCCATTTATGAGTTACTTTGAAATTTCGAAAATTCTAATATTAAAAATTTGAAGAAGTGAAACTTACAAGTCTTTAAATATCAAAGAATACGAAATTGTTGAGTTATGAATGTTCAAATTTGGAAATTTCTAAATTTCTGAATTTCTAAATGCCTAAATTTCTAAATTGAAGATCTTAATTTCTAACCTTGACAATTTTATAATTTTTAACATGAAAACCTACACATTAACCACTCGTTATATTACCTTAAAATATATTGTCACATTATAAAAAAAAATATTTTGTCCCATTAGATATAATATCAATTTAAAAAATTCGTTAACGCATCTCCATACGTGGCAATATAATTAAAGTCCACTGTATTCTGATTATTAAAAATGCAGATAGCTAATCTTTGTAATTTGAATTTTTACCATATATTAGTATTATTATAATAGCAATGTTATTTAACATTTTCATTTGTTAATTATTCGATCACATTATATATGAGACGGTCACCGGTGACCCCGACACGCAGTCCGTTAATTGAAACTGATACATATGCGCTTAAACTGAAGTTTTCATTAAAACTGGAACTGCGTAAAAATAATTTCTTACATGATATTTCGTTAATGAATGTAATATTAAATAATTACTATTAATTCATACTAAACTTTCTTTCGTTTGATATGCAAATCTATTCTATTACAAAAAATTAAAAAATTATTAATTCTACTGTTGCTTAATTCAAAAATATTATATGCTAAATTTTAATGAACAAATTAAAAATTACAAATCGTTACTTTATCGACCAAATAACGTTAATAAATTCAAGCTAAAATTTTTGTTAAAAGAACGAATAAATATAAATGAATTACTGTTCGAAGGACAGTATTTTTAAGAAGTCAAGCTTTACGTAATCAAGCGACTGAAGTTCAAACAATCAAACACTAGAAATCTCAAATACTTTTCAATCGCTCGAGCAAAGATCATCAATTAATATTCGATAACTTTGAGAAGTTCACACATTACGCTGATCAACGTCAGAATAATAAATACCGATTACCATCGATGCAATATCACTTGATAAGTCCGCATTACGATTCGAATTAGCAAATATTATCGCCAAACAATAAGGTCCAACGTTTCTCAAAAAAAAAAATGACTCGCGAATTAATCTTCTAAATCGATTCGATCGAATTCACGGACTACAACTATAATTGCAACACGAAAAATTCCACGAATCACTGTTATCAACAAAAGCTAGTTGAAATTCGCCGTCAAGATTGCACGTGTACCGATGAATATGTACGATCTTGGCCAAATCCTAATCACCCGCGTTTCAACGAGAATGCACTCGTGTTCGCGTTAGCACCTTGAACGCTGCAAGTTCCGCGACTCACTGACTGAAAAACTCGCCTTTGAATCCGTCTTTTTCTCCGTTCCATACTCGCACACGCACAAACTTACGTATGTCTGCCAGTCACACGTGCATACACACGTGTTCCCTCCCACCGAAATTCAAATGTTACATTCTCTAGCTACGATTCGAGCCACCTGCGCAACGAACCCTATTTGCATGTCCAACCATTTCACGGCTAATGAAAAATTATAATTAAACCCACCCGACTTTCGCATCTGATGTAACATGTTTGTGATAACGCGAAACGTATTTCGAAACGTATTTTCGATAATCGTGACACTGCAAGAAAAAGAGTACCTTTTAACACATTCCGGTCAAACAATAACTTTCTAGCGATATTAACACATGCAAATGGTCACTCCGATTGTATGCGGCTGTCGATAGCGCACTGAACACTCACGCGATTTCGCGTACTCGACTGTCGACACTAAATGTTACATCACGTGATATCGCGTGTTAGAGTCAATGTTACACATCGGTGTTATAAAAAATTGGATATGTGTGATACTGACTATGTCTTCAGATTCGTGTAGTTTTACGTCTTTAGATACAGTTCTTGATTTCTAGGGGTATTTACATAAATATCTGGATTAAAAACACTTGTTTGTTCTAAATATCTCTAGTTGCCGACAGCTTTATACATTCTTATGTTCATTCATTTAACACCAGTTAACCTGGTACCCTTACACTCTGAATATCCCTAAATCTAACAACCTTGTAAGCTAACCTTCTAGCCCATATATGCATATGTTACTTGACCTCAATTAACCTACAATCTCATATATCCCCATATTCCAAAAAACTGTACATAACATGTACCTCTAAATTCTAAACCATAGATACCGATATACCCAGATTTCAAATATCTTTAAATTTTTATATACCTAGACTCTGATTACCAGAGGCAGTTCTCAGCTGTTTGTTCCAAGACAAATATTTGTGGATATTCTGTATCCCAATATTCCTAGATTCAAATATGCCTTGATTTTAATATCCACAGATTATATCCAGATATTATTCTACATTGTATATGCATTTGATTTAATTTTTTAGTGTCTTACATTCTGAAGTTAAAATTACAAGTTTACTCTTATGTGGAACATGAACTTCAACATTATATCTTTTTTGTATTTCATACGTTTTCATACATATTCAACATCATAAAAAAACTTACTTTCGAAGTGTTTTACAACTGCACAACTTTATTGTAGAAACGCAGTTTTGTTACTAACGCCATTTAAACGACACTAATGTCATTTTCTGTGAAACGTTAAATTTTTTGTGGTCATGTTGGGTTGCCCAATTTTCCTCATAACTAAACTTCAATATTTCCTTCGAAATTTCCTTAAATAATAAACACTGACTCGCACTTAATTTTGTCTAAAGAACACCATAATTCGTTACATTAATATTGGTACAAAGCTTCAAGTACCAATGAAGTTCACTATCAAACAAAGGTTCAAGTACCAACGAAGTTCACTATCAAACGAAGGTTTCAAGTATCAACAAATTATTCACTAATAAAATGCTTTAAGTTGTTTAAACTGACGCGACACTGATTGCAAAGTAAATTTTCTTCGAGAATAAAATTGTGGTTCGTAAAAGATGAAGGCAAATACGAGAAGCATCGCTAACACGAAGCGACGATAAAGTCTCGAAGCAACGAAATTTCTTACGATGAGAGAAACGAAACTGGTTTTTGCGCTAACGAGTCATATAACATAGGTTCAGGTCGTCGAAACACGCAGAGAATCGTTTTCACTAAATATCACTCAACATCCTTCTTATAGTTTTATATTTAAAGCATGTTTACATCAAATGCAAATGCTGCATTGAAATGAAGCAATTAATAGGAATCGGTGCATGAAGGTTTTGCAAAAAAGGATGTTAAAATAGATCTATAACGTTATAGGTTTCGATTTGAATGTCATAGTTATATTATATAATGCAATATTATAATGAATACATTCAAAAATATTTTCATGTTCTGGCAGAGAGGTTTTGGAACTTTTGAATTTTAACTTCTTTGAATTTTTAAATTACTGTAAATGAAATTAAAATATTTGAATGAAATTGTAGGAGTTTGGAATCATTGATTTTCAGAATTATTCAGAATTATTTTTCAAGGTGAACATTAACGCGTAAAACTTTGAAGAGCTCTGAATAGTTGCGTTGTTAAATTTCGCAACTTAAATTACAGGGAAAATCGAATACCTGGAATAAAGTACATGAAATACGATTGCATGGAGCTTAAGATGACAAGATTTTCTACCTTACTGTCGACGTCAAAACATGTGTTCTCTGCTTTCAGAGATCATTCTTTTGTTCGCTGAGATACCATTGTTAGAGCAAAGCAGCGCGGTTGTTCGCTTCTAAAGTCACGCTCTGTCGACGGAGGAAACATTGAAATAAAGTAGCCCGGTGTAATTTTGAATTCTTCGTCTCAAGATGACAAAAAGCGAGCGGAGTCAACAACAATTCCTCCTAAATTAGTTTCTTTCTCTAATTCACGATTGCAAGAATGCTTGAAAGTAATGAACGCTGTCGACTACACCTTCAGATGAAATTAGATATAGCCAAGAAAATGGAACCAGTAAGAATTTTTCTGGAATTAGTTTCTTTCTCGCATTTACAATTGTAAAAATGATAGTTGAGAGAATACTATACTTTGACAATTCCAGTGGCTTTTGTACATATTACAGAAATTAATTTACTGAATAATTCTAAGTAATTTTTGAAATCATGCAGATTTTCAATTTTGAAAAAGCGATAGAATCTTATATTGCCATGTGACTCTTATATTGCCACATAAAATGTAATTTTTTATGTACATTTATGGCATTTATCTGTGAGCAAGCTTGAAGATCATTGAAGATTACAAATTTTCAAATTCAGATGTTTAAAAAAATTAGGTATTCACTTAGATATCTAGAAATGTAGATATTCAGAAATTTAGACATTTTAAAATTTAACAAACTTGGGATTTAGTGCCTCAGATATTAAAAATATTTAAATATAGAATTTTATAAATTTAGAAATGTACAAACTTGATATATTAAAATTAAAAAGATAACTATCTTGCAGCCACACTTGCCCATCGTTGGTCTATCTTCTATCAGATCTGTGCACTGATCAATTGTTACCCGCAATGATAAAACAGAGACCTATTGGAGGAGTATGCGGAGCTCGATCGGTAACTTTCCTTAGCACTTTTACGTTACATAATACGTGTATGGAGTTATTCTTAATTATGCAGTTTACAAGAAAAGAAACAGGAATTTTAACAATGTACTTACTTTACGTTTGTCGTCCGAACTAAGGGCGCTGTGGCTTCTATGTCTAATGAGATCCATAACTTTGCTCACAGGGTTTCTGCTACTTTCAGAACCAGCTCGTGGACGTCCAACAGGCTCTCTACCTTCCTTGTGATCCTTACTATCCCTATGGTGATCCTTGTCGGTACGTATATCTGTTGTTGAACTTCCGTGTGAACCTCTGTGCAACGAATGCTGCAAAATAATAGATATTTAATTAATGATGTAAGTACAAGTTTGCTATTTTATTAGTACTGCATGTATACACTATTGCTCAAAAATGTTTGCTTACTTGAATATACAAGGACTTATTTGTAACAGGCTGATTGCAATTTTGTGAATGTAATTACATGGTTTAGAAGTAGGAAATAATATATTTGAGAATTTAGGAAATGGTAGTCTAGGAATTTGGAAATCTAATAACTTGAATATTAGGAATTTGGATATTTAGGGATTTGAATACTTAGGGGTTAGGTTAAGTGAATATTTTAGAATTTAGGCATTCAGAAATTTGGATATTGGGGATTTGAAAATTTAGAACTTTGTAAATATAAAGATTTGGGAATATAGGGATTCAAAAATTTAGAAATTGAGGGACTTGAGAATCTGGGAACTGAGGAGTTTTGAATTTTAATAATTTAAAGATCTGAGAAATGTGATAATTTGAAACTTAATTTAAACATCCAATAATTTAAAAACCTAGAAATCTAGACAGAAATGTAAAAACCTAGAAATTGAAAAATCTAGGATTTTCAAAGATGAAAGAGCGCATAGATAAATTCTTTTGAGCGATAGTACATATCAGATACAGCTATCATTTTAAAATCACAGTAATACCTGCACAGCACTTTTCATATTGGCTATAATACTGGGTTTTCTTTTGCTAGCATCAGATTTACTCCTTGGTCTAAAGGCATCGAAGAGTGCTGGTTTTTTGGTAGGACTAGCAGTGTCATCGACAGTACCACCACTTCTTCTACGCTCGGCGCTATTACTACGACTATTACTGCGGCTAGTTGATCCAGATCGTGTTCCGGAAGCTTTTCTGCCACCTTTGCTCGAACTTGAAGAACTCGAGGGTTCAGCCTGCTGCGGAAGAGGTGTCGATTTACCAGAGCCAGGAGCACTTCCAGAAGTTGGTTTTCTGATGCTCCTCGAATGTGATCCCCAAGTACCTATTCACACAAACGATAACACAATTACTATCAATAGCAAGTACATTTTTATCAAACTTTAAATCTTGTCTTATCAACTTAATATTCTTTTACAATTTGAAAGTTATATTAAAATTGAACTGTATATTTTGTTGAAGTACTAATACAATAACATCTTTTGGAAGTATTTGATATTAGGTATATTATGCATTATTAACATACAATATTACAGTTGTAATACTACAGTTTGTATTATCACAATAAAGTCTTTAAACTATCAGAGGTAACCATAAGCAATGTCATTTTTAAACCCAATATTTCTGTACAAGTAATAAAAGATTATCAATAATGATGAAGATTGTATTGTAAACTAATTGAACTCAGAATATTAAATAAAATGCTTAAGCAATCTTTTTCAATTAACGAATAGTAAAATATGTGTGTGATTATCTGACCTGCCCGAGGCCTGTGACCCTGATCTTGAGAAGCATGGTTCGAAGTATCCGTATCTTCGGTGACGATCGTTGGCAATGGTTGTGATCCAAGTTCCTGTGAAAAATAGACACAAATTATTCATCCGTGGTTTCAGACATAACATTTATTATTGGAAACGACAATCGTGTACACACTTTTGTTTATCCCAATAAAATTTACTGTGATCCGTTTATAGAGAATCGTTATCTCATAGCTTCAACAAGTAAAGTGTTTACGAAGAACACAATTTATCGATTATAGTACCATACTGAATGTGATCCATTCATTCAATAATAACATGTCAGGAATTGGCCGAAAGCGTGACAAAAAAATTTTATTGTCTGCTGATCTAAAGCTACATAATACCTATGATTAGATATCGCTATTTAATTAAGAGCTAAGCTATATAATGTTTATATTTAGCTAGATATCGTGGCTTTTCTGCAAGGTGCCCCGACAGGCAATTTTGACATATTTAGAGATATCTTTTATTGATATTTATCAGAATATACATGTAGTTATACAATATATACATAAAGTTATACGTTTAATTCCAAAAATAATCATTGTTATTTATTTGTGTAGCAAATTTTAAGTACGCTGTCACAGTATTAAATAAAATATTGAACCGTGTAATACATTTGATGAAATTATCGACAAATATGACTAACATTTCCCAAATATAGAACAGCGTGTTTTTTCGATTGCCCAACCGTTTTACAGGCTATGGAAAAATATACGGAAACAAATGTCAAGGTTTCATACTATAATAAATCGAGGAGTAAATTATTTTGGCTTCGAATTATTGATAGCTTGTATATTTCTCATAGACACGTTCTTTGCATCTGCCGCTAAACATTCTGCACGAATCGAGTTTAATGGGAGAGCTCTATAACCTTATGCACACAGGCTATTTGTTGGCAGAGATAAAATAAAAACATTGTTACATGAATTCTTGAAATGCTTCCAATTATAACGATAGATCAATTGGAACATCTCCAATGAACGACAATTGAAGCCTACTGTAAATGTCCTCTCCTGTTTTGCATTCATACCGAAACATTTTACAATCAATAATATCTACATTTATATTCATATGTGCACATGCAATATTGTACGAAACATATGTGCACATACAATATTTCTCAGACTGATTCACGTGAGAGTTTCTCAAGAATTTATATGAAATGTGTACGGAGAGCTGAAATAAAATTATAGAATTTTTGAAAAATATTTTCCGGAATATAAGGACATTTAATGAACTTATAAAATGAGTTTTGACTTAATTGTATAATTAACTGTGTCTAATTCTATTTAATTATATATTACAAAATGACAGCAGTATGTAAAGTAGCACAACAGTAGAATAGTGAAGCAGTAAAATAGTAGAATAGAAGACTAACAACAACGACGATGGAATATTCGATGAAAGGAAAGAGATTCAAATTTTCAACGAGCAAACACTTCAATCTGTTACATCCACAGTTTTAACGTTTTTTAAATTACTTTTTTTTTACCGTACCCTTTTCAAACAATCTGGAACTAGATCGTTAAACACGCTCTCCGCAGCTTCCTGAAGTGTTCTCAAAACAGAAGGTTTAAGGATCATCTCATGGTGAGATCACAAATGAGCGCGAGTATATTTTTTCTTCGCCGCGGACGCACGGTTCCGAAAACGCGAAACGATTCCCGCGATAACTACCGTATTCGTGCGACGAAAAAAACGTCTACCTTTAATTCATCGCTCGCACAGATGCTACAACGAATTCGTAGAAACACCAGCCACAAAGAATCCATAGAAATTCAATCGATCGATGCCATTGAACTGATTGCATTGACGGCCGTATGCATTAATTCTAATCTCACGTTCATCCGTGTTAAGAGATTTCTTTTACTTGCATACTAGTTTCGATTCTTCTACTTTATTAAATCGTGTCTCACTGGATTGGTCTAGTTTTATGTGAAATACGATGACTTTAAGTGGTTGAAGAACGAATGGTGGAATGATATGAGTTTTACAATTTAAGTTTTATCAAAGTAGATGATTTTGTGGTAGGGGTGGTAGATACTACAGATTTTGAAATTCTTATATTCCTAGATTTATGCGTTGCTGGGTATCTATGGTTATATGTAGATACATTTCTAAATATTTACGTCATAGATACTAACGTTCGTAGGTACCTACACCCATAGATACTTACGACGCTAGGTAAGTATAGTAGATTCCTAGGTCCACAGCTACCTACGTCCTTAGATATTAACGCTTCTTCATACCTACGTTCTCAGATTCCTACATCTCCAGATACCTACGCTCCCAGATATCTACGTTCCCAAATCCTTACATTACTAAATCACTATGACCCCAAATTTCTACGTCTCCAAATTCCCATGTCCCCAAATCCGTAGGTTCCTAAATTCCTCCACATCCCCAAAACTCTACATCCCCGAATTCCCACGTTTCCAAATCTCCACATGCCCAAATCCCTATGTCCCCAAATTCCTCCACATCCCCAAAACTCTACGTCCCCGAATTCCCACGTTCCCAAATCTCCACATGCCCAATTCCCTACGTCCCCAAATTCCTCCACATTCCCAAATACTTAAGTTCTTAGATACTTACATCCCCAAATACCACTGCTCCTTAATACACACATCCACAGATACCTACTCTATTGATCACTACATCTCTCCATACTCAGAACCTCTACATCTCTATATCTCTATCCCTTGTTATTCACTGTTCTACGCCCCCAAATCCTAACATCCCTTATTTTAATAACTATCTGACCAAACTAGCTTTACTCAAAAGTCCGAAATATTCACAATTAACAAAAAGAATTGTTTATTATCTCTATCTACATATTATTAAAAGTACCTCTATTTCTCCAAACTTGACAAAATTATGAAACTTAAACAAGAGAAAAAATTGCAATGAAAAGATTACTGAGTAAATATTTCAAATTTCTAATCATAATTAAATTATTAAAAACTTGAATTTGGTATAGTATAGATTAATTAGAGAGACGTTTGGAAATTTCAAATGACAACGTAATAAAGTACTATTGATCCTTAACGGGTTAATCGACTATCTGGTGCGAGCCTGTTTCATCAACCTTACACTTTCGCGATATCAAGTTATAACATTCAATCAAAAATGGGTAAACAATTGTGTAACAATCTTGAAAGCGAAGTATCGCATTCTAAAAAAGAGTTCGATTACAAATAACCGTATCTCTGTTCCATAATTTTATACAATATTTATTATCTCGAGAACACCGGATATGGCCGATACCACAGGCTACGTACTGTCTGTAAATAACGTCGAATCTCAATTGTAACAATTGACATTTTTACTGTGCGATAAAACAATTTTCAAAGCAGAGAAAGCACAATGTTATAAATTATCTTCGTTGTATATTTTCATTCACAAAACGGTGTATGTAATTAATTTCCTTTGCAATTAATTTTCTCTGCACACCCCAGACTTTCGTATTTCGGTATAAATGATGAGAATTGTGGCGAAATGATTGTATGTAATTAAATGATAGTAATCTTGATATCGAGAGTTAACACCACGAATTAACCGAACAAACCGATACATTCGGAAACCACGATTCGTTTCGTTCGCTGTTCCAAGCTCGACTGACATTTTCAATCCTGACTGCGTTACTCCGACATCTGATAGAATACCAAGTAAGCTATATGATACAGTTGTGTTATGAAACCAAAAATAAATCTGCTTCGAAATTCGCAGGGCACTGGAACCAGCAAGAAAATTAAACTCCTCGACACCACATGGGATCAATGAGTTCCGCGATAGAATACAAATAAATATTCGCGGGAGAAAAAATCGACCTCCTTTCTTTTATGTCAATGATCAGTTATTGTGGATTTTTATTTTTATCGAATAAATTTTCATGCAATTTAGCGGCTTTTGAAATTTCTAGGTGGATTATTTTTAACGTTGGAAATTTAGAGGTTGAGGAATTTGGGAATGTGGGAATTTGGGGAATTGAGAATTTGGAGATGGCCCCCAAATTCCTCCACATCCCCAAAACTCTACATCCCCGAATTCCCACGTTCCCAAATCTCCACATGCCCAATTCCCTACGTCCCCAAATTCCTCCACATTCCCAAATACTTAAGTTCTTAGATACTTACATCCCCAAATACCACTGCTCCTTAATACACACATCCACAGATACCTACTCTATTGATCACTACATCTCTCCATACTCAGAACCTCTACATCTCTATATCTCTATCCCTTGTTATTCACTGTTCTACGCCCCCAAATCCTAACATCCCTTATTTTAATAACTATCTGACCAAACTAGCTTTACTCAAAAGTCCGAAATATTCACAATTAACAAAAAGAATTGTTTATTATCTCTATCTACATATTATTAAAAGTACCTCTATTTCTCCAAACTTGACAAAATTATGAAACTTAAACAAGAGAAAAAATTGCAATGAAAAGATTACTGAGTAAATATTTCAAATTTCTAATCATAATTAAATTATTAAAAACTTGAATTTGGTATAGTATAGATTAATTAGAGAGACGTTTGGAAATTTCAAATGACAACGTAATAAAGTACTATTGATCCTTAACGGGTTAATCGACTATCTGGTGCGAGCCTGTTTCATCAACCTTACACTTTCGCGATATCAAGTTATAACATTCAATCAAAAATGGGTAAACAATTGTGTAACAATCTTGAAAGCGAAGTATCGCATTCTAAAAAAGAGTTCGATTACAAATAACCGTATCTCTGTTCCATAATTTTATACAATATTTATTATCTCGAGAACACCGGATATGGCCGATACCACAGGCTACGTACTGTCTGTAAATAACGTCGAATCTCAATTGTAACAATTGACATTTTTACTGTGCGATAAAACAATTTTCAAAGCAGAGAAAGCACAATGTTATAAATTATCTTCGTTGTATATTTTCATTCACAAAACGGTGTATGTAATTAATTTCCTTTGCAATTAATTTTCTCTGCACACCCCAGACTTTCGTATTTCGGTATAAATGATGAGAATTGTGGCGAAATGATTGTATG